AAAGTATCTCTTTACATTTTTACCCAAGCACTTAGTGATCATGTTTCTGAACAGTTCCAACTCTCTCAGATCAGCTTCCCTGAACTTCCTGTCAAGTACAAGATAACAAGGGATAGAGCAGACTCCAGCAGCTATCCATATACTAGCTGGGAGAAATAAATAGGAAGGAGAAGTGGGGAGCAGGGAGGAGGGTAGGGACTTGTCTTGCTGTGTATATGTGTTTGTGAAGGCACGTGCAACTTAGTACTTACTAGCACACACAAGGGTGCCTCCATGGGAAATGAGCAACCCAAAAACAGGATATCAGGTCCAGTGCTGAGGGCACCAGTTGATTCTGTAGGAAACTAAAAATGTAAACATCACGCAGCAACATAATTGTAGGTGATTTTCATCAGGATTTGAAATACCTTAAAAACCTTTTAACTTTAATATGACTTTAAAGCCAGACAAACAGCACTTTCAGAAGGAGGTGGCAGGAGGGTAAACATACATTGACAGGGACAAAAGGGACATTATATTTAATGACACAAGTAAGATCAATGTCTTCCAAAGTAGAAAGATAACTATCAATGATTCTGAGTCACTGTAACAAACCTTTGCAGGAAGACAATACAAACTACTTTGCTATCTGTGTCATTTTCAATTGTCTCCAAAAACTGCATTTCTTCACCTTTTTTTTTAGTTGTGGCACCTTTTAAAAGTGTGCAAAATCTCAAGGCAGCCCAGGCTAAAATGTAAAAAACGTAAATGTAAAAAATTACTTGCGATTTTCCACAAAATCTATAAAAAATCCTTATTCTAGTCTGGTATAGATTTTATTTTAAGAGGGGAAAAAAACAACTCTTCACATCAGAGTCCTCACTTTCATATTAGAAGCCCTCTTTCCCATGGGAGTCCCTTCCTTTCCATCAGAGTCTTGTCCCCCCCCTTTCACGTCAGAGTGCCTCTCTTCACATGAGCCCCTTTTAAACCTCCCCCACAGTTAACTGAGGCAGTATGGCAGGGGGCAGGATGTGAGGCAGGTCTGGACAGAGGTGGACTTCTGCCCTCTCCTGAAAGCTCGGGGAGGTCCTGGCTATAACCCCGCCCCCCCCCCCCCCCCCCCCCCCTTTGCCTGCCCTCACCCCACCCCCCCCCCCCCCCCCCACACCACATTAGCATCATGCATTTCCATGGTGCTGGTGGCTGGCTCACTTGCGCCATGGAAATGCAGACACTGTGCAAAAATTTAAAGGCACCCCTTGACAAAGCCAGAAGACACACCAGTGTTGTACTGCACCTTGGTTGAGAAAGGCTGCTTTAAAGGTACAGTTGCTTCTCAGCTTTCTTAATTGCTACTGCTATGTTCATCTTCAAATTTGCATCATCTGAAATACGAACACCAAGATATTTTGGAAGAAAGTCTCTCCGTTCATTAAAAGTGACTATAGTCCTAAAATCTACAAGTTCCTTGTCTTCTGTATAATAAGCTCCAAGATGCTTGAAGCAGACCACTGAACCCCATTCCTGACCTCTGTAAACTGTCCCATCGCTATTCCTGGTAAGGCCAATGACAGCTGTATCACCTGCAATTTGTTTAATAGCAGTCATTGTGTGGGTGGGTAGGCAATCGTGAGTATATATAGTATATGGGAGGGAGCTGAGAACACATCTCTGTGGTGTACCAAAACTGATGGACAGATAACCATAACCCATTTTCATTGATTTCTCCCGGTTAGGCAAAAGGTCCAAAATCCACATCCAAGTCGAATGATGGAAGCCACCATACGGCTTAGAAATATTTTTCTTAAGAACCATAGTGTTAAAGACAGAACTATTATTAAAAAAGGTACCCTAGCATTTTGTATTTTTTTCATCTCAATTCATCAATATTGTATGAAGTAGTGTAGCAACAGTGCCCTCTGTAGATCCTATTAGGATGATATGCATATTGATGTTGATCCATCAGAGGTAAGAGGCAAGACTTAATACACTTGAAAATTAACTTTAAAAAAAAAAGCATTTTATCACATTAGGTGTAAGTGCTACTGATCTACAATAATTTTTAATCTCCCATTAATTTACTAATTTGTATTGAGATTATAGTCCATCACAAGAGCGAGCTTGGAGCAGTGGCTATTTTACAACACACACAGGGACCATGGGGAACAAAAATAGCCACCCTCCAGAAGGAAGGACAGTGTCAGCATGAATTCAGAGATGATTTGAGCATCTACAGCTGAGTGATACACAAATAAGATACATTTTTGTTAATAGTTAGGGTACTTGAATGCATTTTTAAGACTTAAAGGAGAACTATGGGGTTTAGGGCTTTTCCCCATAGTTCTCCTAAGGGTAACGGGAGGACACAAACTAGCGTCCTCCCGTCTAGACATGTGCACCAGCAAAACATTTGTTTAGTTTTCAAACCAAAAAAAAAAATGTGTTGTTTGGTTTCTTTTGATTCGGACTTTGCATTATTTAGTTTTTCGGATTAGGGTCCGAAATTAAATTAGTTTCGGACGTGATTCATTAGCGGTAGTCCAGCCGAAATTTGTTTATGGACGAAATTATTTTATGGCCGAAATACGCTGCAGCAAAATGACATTAAAAAAAAAAAAAAAATTACATTTTTTTTTAGTCTGCAGAAGATGAAAAAAAAAGCTTGAGGTTCCCCCCCCCCCAATTCATACCAGACACTTTAGGTCTGGTAGGAATGTTAGGAGGGACCCCCCCCAGTTATAACAAAAAAAGTGCGTGGGGTTTCCCCCAAAATCCCCACCAGACCCTTTAGATCTGGTCGGAATTTTAAACCCCAGGCCCCAAAAATGGGGGGAAAGCCCACAGACCCCCAAAACAACCGGGTTAGGGTTGTGGGGAAGAGGCCCTTATCCCCATCGGCATGGGGACACCCTCCCAATGCCGAGGGCACGTGGCCTGGTAAGGCGCAGGGATGGGCGGGCCGCTCGATCGTCCACCCCCTTTCCTGCCCTGCCAGTGCTCGGATCAAGGGTCTGGTTGGACTGTTAGGGGGTGGGGCATGTTTCCCCACCCCATTTTTTGGGGCTGGTGTTCCCCTTTAAAATTCCTACCAGACCTTAAGGGTCTGGTATGGATTTTTTCTTCATCTTCTGCAGCTGTAAAAAAAAAAAATCATTTTCCCTAATTGCATTTTGCTGCAACGAAATTCGTCCAATAATGAATTTTGTCCAAAAGAATTTTGGCCGGACTACCGCTAACGAATTTCGGGAAATCGGGAATTCGGATTCGTTTGCATTTGTCTTAGCTGTAATTCGGATGCATCCGAATTTTTCCAAAATTCGTCCGAAACGAAATCGCACATGTCTACTTCCGTCACCCTAAGCTCAGTATACCGCGAGGTACAGCTCGCAGTATACTGAGACAACGCAGCTGAAACGGATCCCGACAATTATGTCTGGATCCGCCCAGCTGCGTGAGCGACAGCTGACTGCCTATCTAGAGGCATACCAACTGTACCCGCCCCCTCCCGTTTCACCAGTCAGCGCTGGAGGATCGGAGCGGGGGAATCCAGACCCCCCCTCCCTGTCAGGATCGAGAAGTGAGCGAACGCCGGTGAGTTCGCTCACTTCCCGATCTACTAAGCCGACCTGTGAGTCTCATTGTCACAGATCGGCTAGAACTATGAGGTGAGTGAAAAGCACTCACCTCATAGTTGTCCTTTAAAAGCATTCCTGCAGTAATTCTGTAGATCCTGTTTACCAAGTTGTTAAGCTGCCCATACACCTTACAACCATAGCACGATTTACGGCAGGTTTTCCAGTGCGCTCAGAAGACGAATGTCGTGTGCCCTTACAGTAGAAGAGGTCGCACGCTGCCCATACACCTGCCGATTATTGTACGATCGTGTGATCACCCGCAATTATCGTAAGATAATCGGCAGGTGTATGGGCACCTTTGGGGCTTGTTCACACCAATTGCGGCAAGTTCCAGAGCGGTAGCACCGCAATCGTTTACAAAACTTCCCCCTGCGTTCTGGGGCATGGCAGTGCATTGAATTCAATGGCACGGCTTCCACACACCACCGACCACAGTGCGTTCAGACGCATGGCAAAAGTTTGCCTGCGTTCCGTTCCACTGCAAACCCAGCAGCATCTTTTTGCGTTTGCAGTGGAACGGAACACAGGCAGTTTTGCCACGCGTCCCATCACATTGTGGGCAGGGGGTGGGGGGGGGACTGTAAGTGGTGCCATTGAATTCAATGCACCGCCACACCCACTTCCACCCCAGAGTGCAGGGGGAAGTTTTGCTTTTAAAGTGGAAGTGTCATATACAAAAAGTGCTAACAGGGTTAATATGACAGATTAGGTCGCTTCTGTTCTACATCTTTCCATCTGCCTCAGACCTTTTTTATTCTGTACACTGAGCAGCACATACAAAGCTCTGCAGAGCGCCAACATCAAAGCACTGGCGGGCATCATATTAGCAGGCAAGTCTGTAATATGCTGCGTATACTAGCACATTACGACAATAGCTCCCAGAGGCTTTTTTTCCCCTTTGCTTCCACTTTAACTGCATAATATTCCAGATCTGCTAAAGTGGTTACATCTAATAGTATGCAAATACATGCAGTGTTCCCCTGCTCTACACTTGCCAGAATGGATCTCTACGCTACTGTGAGTCAAGTGGCCAGCTAGCTCAATAACCTCATACAGAATCCATGCATTTAACCACGACAGTTCTTATTCCTACAAAGCAATCTCAATTGTTTAACAAACAGGGGAGGACAAATTAATTCAGGAGCCAGCAGGATT